TTGCACGCCTCATAGTGCGAAGCGCGTGAGGTTGTGCTTTATACTCGACTCGTCAAGGTCAAGCAATTTTGTGATCTTTAAATGCCTCTATCACAACTATATTACACTTATACAATGATATAAATAGATGAATACCGAAAAAACACTTAAATTAAACCATCTTTTACTTTCTAAAATCGTTTCATGTTGCTATTTTGAAAAAAAAAACGTTTTGAAAAAAATTTTACGTGGACGTCCGGATGTCATCCCATTTTGGATGTACCAACGATTACTCCCGAACAAATTGATATTTCAAGAGCGGATCTTTTTTATTAGTTTTAGAATTCGATGAACTGGGTCCGTATTGCATATCAGTGGCCTAGCGTTACGTTATTTTTTTTAAATTGAATTTTTATTAAAATTTACTACGATACAACCGTACAAAGCTAAGCGAACTTTTCTTATTTGTCACGTGAAAACTATGGCGCCACTTGATCAAGCTAGATTTTTTTTTAGACTGCGTGCGCGCATGACAAGAAGAAAGGGCGCCGATATTTAAAAAAAAATAAAAAATACTCTGTAAGAAATTACTTAATTATAATTTTTTTTTTTTTTTTTTTTTTTTTTAATTAATTACACAATTAATTTTTTTCTTAAAAAATGAATGAGCGTTATGAGGCGTGCACTTTTGGATTTTCCAAACTTTTTATATATAATATATATACAGATAATATATATATACAGAATAATATATATACAGATTTTGTATTACAACAATTTTAAAAGTCTGTTCAACTACTGGTCCCATTTTTAGAAGTGTTCAAGTACTGGATACTTTACCTTATTTACACTTACTATGGTAAATGACGAGGCAGTGAGAATGATGTTCGTTTAATTCTTCTTAAAGTATCATGACGTTTGAACCTCTGTCTTGTAGATCTATTGTCACTGAAATTTTTAAAATCATTATTGAAAAATCTCTCAACCTTAGGCATAATCGACTACTGAAAACAACGAAGTCCAATAAAAATTACGTCATCAACAGTCCAAGAAAGAGAATATCAACTCTCGTTAATAGATATCATACTAATATAAATTTTTTTGAAGGCTCATATAAATTATTTCTGGCAAAATTAAAAGAAACTCTGTAACTCGTATTGTTGCAAATTTACTCCCCATGTACAACAAACTATTTTCTGTCTCTTTCTTAATATTTCTTATATTATTTCTTTATTATTACTGTTTATATTTAATTTCCCCTTATAACTTTTGTAATATCAATATGTACAAAGCCATTTGGCGTTAAGCTATAATAAATAAATAAATTTATTCATTTATAAATGAAATTGATAAAATTGCAATACACACCATTTAACAACTGATAGCACAGCTACAATCGATATTACTAAGAGAATATTTTTGACAATGTTCATCGTAACCAATACTTGTTACACCCTGATTTAAAAAAAGTATTGAACCATGCAACTGTATATCTATATTGTATGTATATATAGATATACAGTGTGTGAAAAGTATTGAAAAAGTATTGAATTACATACTTTTTCAATATTTTTCAATACTTTTTTTTAATCAGGGCAATGTTCAAGTTAAATTTCTTAACTGATGAATTTTTTACTGAAATTTGAGATTTATATATACTCAAGTCTGATCGGCTACTTCAGGCTAGAAATAATTGGAGGAATTTTAGAACAAAGAATCTGTCTGTTAATTGACAATAAGACGGGTCGAGTATTATAGAAAAATCTCATTGATAAAACCTTCATAAAAAATATAACGTCACGAAAAAACCCACTCATTTACGTGTAATTACTTTTTAACGACTTAAAGAAACGCCATTTTAAAACTGGACTTTGAAGTTGTTTTTCTGATCGATAGTTCAAATATTTAACATTAATTGCACCTACGTATTTATCTAAATATTTGTAATGATGCGATTAAATTGACTCACTCATTACTAATTATCAATATTTATGTAGATCATTAGTTAAATAAAAATATTTGGATGTATCTTTAGGCATAATAAGTTTCGAATATTCCAGCACTCGATCCAAAAATCCAGATCAGCAGGAACTGATCAGTTGATTTATCAATTCCGCGCCTCATAAATTGTATCTTAATTAAGGAATAAGTACCACAGGTGAAAGTCTCAAACGTCAAATACAAAATCTCTTTTGATTTACCCAATAGATTTACCTGTGTAACGTAACATTGCGAGAAAAGAGATAGCGATGATTTTAAAGAGTTTTTTATTAATTATTACTATCACATGCTCTGAATCTGTACTCATAATTATATCATGTATTCAATTTATTATTTATTTTTGTTATTTACATTTTTATTGAAATCTATAATCTATTATTTCAACCTTATTAAAAATTTAACTGGTCCATTATCTTAATATTTTATTATAATGTGGTAATACGCCAAGTTTCATTGAATTTTAAACTGTAATTTTACAAGCGAGGGTACTACTTTCCAAGTTCGAAACTTCAAAAATAATTATTTATTTATTAAGAGTATGTACGTAAAGTTTTATTAAATTTTGTATCTAGTATATTAGTGTTACAATATATTTAGTCTTAGTGGTCATGAAAACCACTTGATTGTTAAAAACAATATTGGAAATCCCGCCCCCTCCATCACATTAATTAGAAATTTTATTTGAAAAACAACTTCGATGTCGTAATATTACATGACATTATTTTTTATCGATAAAAAAGTAATTACACGCAAATCAGTATTTTTGGTCACGATATATTTCTTTAAAAAAATGTTTAACAATGTTTTTTTAAGCGCGCAGTAGCCTATCGGATCCGGCCCTTGCTACCAAAGCATTAGACCGGGTTCGAATCCGGCGTACACCAATGAATATTTTCAATATTTAAGTGTATTATTTTGCTCAGCCCAAGAAATACAAACGAGTTCCAATCTCAAAAGTGTACCCCCTACCGTAGTCGCTCATGACCTTAGTAGTTTATGCGACTTTAAACTAAATTTAAAAAAAAAAAATTAAGTTTTTTGTTTTTTTTTTTTTTTTTTTAATTTGACTCTTTTTTTGTAAATTCAAATAATTTAAATTTTGAAGTAAAACTTTAAAAAAAATGCTTCGTACTTAGACGGATCTTATTATGTATGCTGATACAAGCGGACTTTCAATAAAAAGGTTTATAGTCATGAATTAATTTTGTTTTTAAAAAATCAATGTAAATTATCGGTTGTAAATAGTATTTTTGTAGAATATACAATGAATTTCCTTATGATTCTATTGACGGATATTTTAATCTATTACGCTTCCCTGGGATGAAGTCATTGTTTACAATTTTGTTTAGACATGTATAAAATTCTACGGTTTTACTTTCATCAATGCTTCATGATGGTTTTTAAATTTATTACATCAAAATCCCTTCCATTTAGTATTCAATTTTTCATAATTGGATGGTATATAAAGATTTCAGATTTAGGTGGACTATTTCAGTTTACTACGAATCATGATCTTCATAAAGAGCATTATCTTCTTTTTTGCGTTGGCGATTATGCTGTCAGACGCTAAAAGGTATAAATGCACAGTGTTGATTAACTTTATCAACGAATAGTACCCAGAAAAAAAAATTTATTTGAATCAAGTAAATAATTTTGAAGAACTTCATCTTCTTGATTTGAGTATAAAAATTTTTAAACTAAGAAATTTTTCTTGGTTTAAGTAAATTTTATTTGATTCAAGAATTTTTCGCCTTAATTCAAAACAATAAAACACTTCAAAATTATTTTTTTGGTTCAAGAATTTTTCTCTTGATTCAAGTCAATTTTTTTTATCGGTGTAATAACAATTTTTTCTAATTTTCAGAATAAAAAGAAATGCTTCTCATATTTTCGTACAACGTTTGAGACCGTATCTATGTTATAATAATGAAGTGTGCGATTTGTCGACTTACAATCCTTGGTACATCGACGAATTTAAATACTGGGTCCAAAATGAAACCTATTTATGCCGCAAAAACTATGATCAAGTTCATAAAGACATATCACCAATTAGTGAAACATTGACGAAAAAATGGGGTTTTGAAGGCTCTACACACCCTGGACCTATTGATCATTTGAACTTAAGATGGAGATACGATGGAATTTGTGTCGATGAATTGGAATATTTTCACAAGTCACTCGAGTTGTTTGATAAGTATAACATGAATAAAATTTTGCATGAAAATAACATCTTGCCCAATAATAATTACACTGCTCAAGAAATATTTGACGCTGTTTCAAAGGGTATAGGAGGCATAAAACCCAAAGTTGAATGTTCACAATACGTAAGTGTTTGATTTTTTTTTTTAAATAGTAGGGTAAATGCACCAATTATTAACCGATTAAGGTTTTCTTTTTCTGTATTAAGCTATAAAAAATCTATTAACCTACTAAAAACAATTTGTAATGGATTTTATTAAAGTTAAATACTTAATTAATAATATTGTGGGTAAATTTCTAAAACTGACAAGAGATGGGAGTGACCCCTTGCCTGAAGTCTATGATGCAGCAGCCCAACAAGTCCCGAACGAAGGTGTTTAGATGGCAGCCAAAGAAGTAGACAACCAGTGCAGAATATTTATTTTTCATAATTGCCTCACAGAGGCTATCGTAAATTCCTTTAATTTTAGCCAACAAGTGCCATAAAAGTTAGTTTGTAGAGTCTTTAATATATTTTATATGAGAATTTGTTGGAATAACAAATAAATTTGTTACAGCAAATTTTATATGTATACATTTAAAAAGCAACAAATTAGTTTTGTTATTGCAATAAAACCACTTTGTTACAGCAGCAAAATCACTTGGTAACAGCAACAAAGTCATTTTGTGATAGCAACAAAATAATTTTGTTAGAGCAACAAATTTATTTTGTGATTTAACAAACTGGTTTGTTAGTACAACTTGAAACTTTTTGTTAATGCAACTAATTGATTTGTTGCTATAAACATACTCATTTGTTACCAGGACATATTTTTTAGTTATCCCGTCTTTTGTTATTTCAACAAAATCGTTTTATGCGTGAACAAATTAAGAAAAAAAAAAATAATTTTAAATCGTACTTTTTTAAAAAATAATCTAAATAATAGCAATAATTAACATAAAGTCACATTTCTTCAGGTCACAAATAATCACAAATTCATTTCGATGACAATAATTCTTCTGATTCGCTTGAAATTTTTTTATTCTTCTCCTTCTTTTTTTCAATTAAAGCTTTTTTACTAGCTTGTAACTCTTTTTTATTTTTCTAATTGCTTAGTAATTTTTTCTTCTAATAATTCGTTCTTTGATATAACCGTTCACTAAAAAAATTAGAACAAAATAAAATTTAATAATCAAAAAAGATTTTAAGTATTATTTTAATTATAAATATACATTTTATAATGATTATTTTTATATTTACAAAATATTGAATGACTAAAGTACTTTAAACAATTGACAGATTTAATTTTGAAGTTAAGAAGTTAGTATTATAAATGTACGGTCATTAATTGGATTGTGATAAAATCAGAGGGTCTAATAAATGACCGAATGAATTTTTTACTGTGTAAAGGGCTTCTGACGGATCCAATAGTTGACCGGTCTTAAAATAATATTAAAACTTATAATTTAACTTTATTTTTTCAAAAAAGTTGGAATCTGATCTTTAATTAACATAATAAAACTAAAATATTTTATATTTTGCCGATAAATATCACTAAATTAATGATGAAATGCACTCACTCTCCAATTGTACGCTAGTTATTTTTGACCGCTTTATGGCTGGTTGCGTTGTAAACAAACTCAGAATATTTTTTTAAAGCTATAATCACAGCGCAATTAATTGCATAATTTTTTATTATGATGATTAAATATCATATTTTTTTATTTTAATACTTTAAGAAAAAAAAAACCCTTGTAAAATATTAATTAATTAACTTTTTTATACATCGGTCAACTAATTGGTGACCGGTCAAAAACTGGTGCATTTACCCTAAATGAAAGTTTATAATTTAAAATTTTTTTCACTTTTTCAGAGAGAAGATATTGAATTAAATAAAATTATACTATACTTCGACAGTACATTTAATCTAATCGATAGTGTTGGAAGTTTCGCGAATTGTAAACCCGAAACTGTTTTTTTTTTACCGTGACCATGATAAGCTGAGAGATCAATTGCCAGATCAAATTCGTGAACGTATTCGTGGTTGAAATACTGCATCGACATTAAAGTGATTTAGAATCATTAAAAAATTATTGCTCTGTTTATCAGTTAAATTTTAATAACTATTTCAGGAGTAATAAAATAAGCCAATTGAGTTAAATAAACATTTATTATTTAAAATTATCTTTTGGTGGTATAATTTACGAATACTTAAACACTTGATCCCAATGGAAACTTAATGTATTATAATATAATATAATCAATTTTGTATTAATAAAAGTATTTTAACAAGATGAATATTTATTGATTAAAATTAATCACTAACTATATTTTAATTTATTATCATTCATTTCAGTTTGCTGAGTAATGTGTTACAACAAACAAAATATTAATAATTAGCACGGAGGTCTTAGTGAACTTTAAGTCCAACGGAGTTGACCAAAGGCCGTGAAGTTATGAATTTCTGTGTAGTGACATAATAGGAAACTTATAAAAAGTAGACAGAAATAATTTGTGTTCAATACTTGGTCATAAAAATACTGATTAAGCTTAACATATAGTAGATTCTCTTCTTTATATTAGCAATACAAAAATGTTAAAGTTTTGTGTAATTGTGACTTAATTAGTGGACTTACAAATCACCTTATCATCAAACAAAAATTAATAAAATTATTGTACGCTTTAAAAATATTTATTTTTTAATATTATTAGAGTACTTATGTCGGCTACATAATTAAAAATAAATTTTTAGGAAATAACAAAAAATAAAATACGTATATATTTAAATAAAATTAAATTAAAAACAAGCCTTTAATGGTCGCATTCGCTAATTGGCTAATTTTTTTTTAATTTAAGCTTTAAGCAAATGCGTTTTATGTTTTCCGTTGCGCATGACTACATATAAATAAGTAAATTACAATGTCATTCGTTTCTTCAATTTATTTATTTGAAAAATATTAAATTTTTCTTTCAATTCCACACACGTGATGGAAAAAAATAAACTCATGCACCAAATTACAAACGCTAGCAATCGCATCTAATGATAAAAAATTTTTTTAACGTTAAATTTCATTCATTTTTATAAATTAATATTACACAGAAAAAAAATTTACTTGAATCAAGTAAATAATTTTGAAGAATTTTATTTTCTTGATTTGAGTGGAAAAATTCTTAAACTAAGAAATTTTTCTTGATTTATGTAAAATTTACTTAATTCAAGTATTTTTCGTCTTGATTCAAGACAGTGAAATTCTTCAAAATTATTTTCTTGGTTCAAGAATTTTTCTCTTAATTCAAATTAATTTTTTTTCAGTGTACTCTTACAATGAGATTTTCAGAAAACGTTAACATTATTTCTATTACTTAAAGATACGCCTTAGTGAATGTATTTTCAAAAATTTTACTTTAGTAATTATTTATTTGATAATTTGTAGTTAGGTAATGTAAAACTTTCGCAAAAGTTAATTGTACGCCTTTTTTTTTTTTTTTCTCGAAAACTTTATTCGAAATAGTTTTATTTTTATTTGAATACTAAACATTGTCTATTATTTTTCATTTATTTTTTTTAATGCCTAAAATTTATGGTTCAATGACATAGTAGTGGTTTAGTATCGATATCGAAAATGTTATCCCCAACTGCATATAAGTTAAAAAGGGAGACGCGTTTATAGCTCGTGATTTTGATTTTTAATGAAGAAATAAATTATATTAGAGAAAATTTAAAGAAAATAAAATCTATCGACAATTCTGTACCTTGAGTACGGTAGACCCTGAAGGCTATCCGTGTGGCATAATAGGAAACTTATAAAAAGTAGACAGAAATAATTTGTGTTCAATACTTGGTCATAAAAATACTGATTAAGCTTAATATAAAGTAGATTCTCTTCTTTATATTAGCAATACAAAAATGTTAAAGTTTTGTGTAATTGTAACTTAATTAGTTGACTTACAAATCACCTTATCACCAAACAAAAATTAATAAAATTATTATAAAACAAAATTTTTTCAAAACAATCATTGTTATTAAAAATTGTCGTTGATAAATTAAAATAGTTCTTTTATAATTACTCACAGTCATCAGATGTCCCTTGATTTATTGAATTTTTCGTAAGTATTTGTAAATACTCTCAAATCTTCATTGCTGATATAACTGAATATCTCATAAATACAATCATAAGATAATCCATTGAAAATCTTATGAATACAAAACTGATGAGACTGTATCAATAATTGATTTCTTTCTATAGCATTAAGAAAGCGACTTTTTATCAAGTCTGCATAAATTGGAAAAATTGAGACATAATCATTTGTATTCATAAGCTCAAGTATTTCATTATTCTTAACATATCTCGCTGCATGATGAATATTATGAGTCAGAAAAGCGTAGAATGTCACATTAGTACAGCCAATTTTTTTATTTTTCATTAGATTAATTTCTTCCCTTTCGTCAAAATCAATTTCGATGGTAGAAATATCATCATTACTATTATTAGTATTACTACATTCACTTTTATCATCACTAGAACTTTCGATGGAATCAGATGATTCGGAGGATACATCAAATGAATCGGACAAATCAGATGCCTCAATGCTGTTAGAATCATTAAAGTCAGTACAATTAGTGCTGCGATATATTATGTTATTGTAAATTTTAATCGCACGTAAATTTTCATCGTTCACGTAAAGTCCAACAGATTTAAGCTTGTGTAAGTGTTTGACAAGAATATCAATAGTTTTGGTGCAATCATTTTTATAAATTATGTGTGAAAACATAGTAGCTAAATTCGGTTGGTAATGAAGATAGTTATAGTTATAACATGAACTGTGAAGATGACCAACCGTATCAGATAGTGCTGTTCCATCACTTTCTGTTTTACTGTTAAAATCAGCACCGTATTTCAACAAAAGTTCGATGACCTCAGCCCTTCTAATTGTCGAAGCTACATGAAGAGCAGTTATACCTAAATTTCCTCGGTAATTAACATAAACACCAGATTTAAGCAAGAGTTCAATTATTTCTAAACTTGAATAGCTTATAATCGCTAAAAAAAGAGCAGTATCTCCATCGCGATTTACGCGATTAACATCCGCACTATTATCTAGTAACTTCAGTAAAATCTGTCGATTGCCAACGTCTGCAGCAATATGAATTGCTGTCGTCTGATTTGAATCCGCGTAATTAACATCGGCACCGAATTTCAGCAAAATATCAGTAAGTTCCGTATTGTTTTTACGGATCGCAATCAAAAGGGCCGTGGATCCGTCGTTGCTGATACAATTGACATTAGAATTGAGCTTCAATAGAATTTCAACGATATCTATGTGTTGATTTTCCACAGCAATGTGAAGACAAGTTTGACCTCTTTTGTTAGTACAATTTATATCAAAATTGTACTTTAACAATTGTTCTACAATCGCTATCTGATTTTGTTCAACAGCTAAATGTACTGG